AAAAAAAAAAAAAAGCTACCCATCTTGAAAAACATTTTTGGGCCCATGAATAGATTTAGACAGAATAACCTACTAAAATGTTGTTGTGGGTTTTTTTTTTTTTAGACATATTGTTTGCAAATATTTTGTGATTTGTTTTTTAGTTAAGCATGTCTAAAACCTTACAGTCCAATAAAAGAAGTCATATCTGTTGTGGAAGCCATCATAAGCTCGGGACTCTGGCAATGTTAGTTAGAGGTAATCTAACCTAAGTAGATTGAAGTATAGCTTATATTTTGGATCTTATTTGTGCATGAGTTAGAGTATATCTAGAAGATATTTTTGAGCAGTATACATTTTTATCTGTTGCTTAACATATATCTCCGTAGAATTGGAAAGTGTTTATTCTGTTTTGTTGGAAAACAAGATATTTTCAAAATAATATTACAGTACAATAGTGACGCAGGTAAACCATTGAAAGAAGCACATTTGAATTTTACTATTTAAAATGTTTAAACAAGAAGCCAGTCAAGACCTAGAAAAAGTTGCTGAAAGCAAAACATTTAATGAAGTAAAGATTATAGCAATAAGTAAATGCTTTTGTTACCATCAACAAGAGATTTGGCATGGCAGAGCATGCAGGATTATGGACAGATGGATATATACAGCTAGGGCAGCTCACAAACACAGGTAGGATGTTGATTCAGGCGGAAATCCAAATATTTTGAGGAAGATAAATTCCCACTTAGAAGTATCTTAGAAACTTGTTCAAATATGAAATGTGTTTGGCTTTTCATGTAGTTCAAGAGCCACCTGGCTATTTTTACAAGATGTTTTGACACACTAACAGCTGGCTAACTTCTCTTATGCGCTTAAAAACGATTCTTTGAATCCTAAATGTTTAAATTCTGGATATATCTTTGTATATTTTATATATTAGATTTGCAGAATTAATATTAGATTGCAGAAAAGATTTTGGAAGAATAAAAAATTTCAACTGTTTTGGCACAAAGAGGGCTTATCACTGTTGATGCAAAATTCAATGTCTGTCACTACAGCTTACTGACCTGTTAGGCACATTAACCTTCACGCACTAGCATTCTAGCATAGGATGAAGTATTTTATATCAAAATCATAGCTTAACATTGCCAGCTTCCCTGTTGCTCCACTGTGTCTGTGAATGTTCACATTAGAAAGATACGACTATTTTTGTTAGTCTTTCACCTTTAAAAGTCTATATGTTCTTCACTGTCAGTTACTAATAACCAAATTTAAAAGGAAGGATTAAAACAGAAATACTCACTTAGGAGGCTTTTCTACTGTGCGGTAGGTGTTAAAGGCTTGCAGCTGGTTTTGAACACCACTTAAAGAGTTGGCCAACTTCCTATCGTTGAGTGTAATGATCATCTGCTCAATCCATTGCAGAAGCTCAGATGCCAAGTGCTCATAGTTTTCAATTAGCTGATCCGCTTCAATGGCATGATCCAGTACCTGTGAAGTTAAAAGAATAGCAATGGACAAATTTTATAATGAGATGCAACAATTAATTGCAATCATTCTGATTTCACCTTCCTGCAGTAGAATATGTAAAAGGTGTAATTAGTGAACTGTTATGGGTTACCACACATTGCATATAGTAATTTCAACAGATGACAAATGCGCATGTCAAAAATACAAAGGTGGTCGTCATGCATACAATATAGTTGTGTATTGGTTGAAACACATGGGCTGCCTGTGCTCTGTCAGCTGCCATGCTTTCATAACCTATTGGCTTTGTGCTTGTACTAGATCCATGGTAAAGAAAGATAGTGACAAAATAAAAAGAGAAGGAAAGCGCAAGGGCCCATTCACACTGCATTTCTGTGGACGGACTACAGTACTGCGAGAGCGCCAGTAGTGTGGGTTGTAAAGGATAATTGAATCAGACATACATAGTATAGTGCAGTTAACTAGATCCACTCAGAAAATAGGATAAAATTACTCAATAAAATCCCAAAGAAAACGTTGCTTTTAATGCCTACAACAGTGGGCAAAGAATATGTATAAGAAAGAAAAATCACAGATTATATGGACCAAGATGATGTTCAGGGAAAAGTTTGAAAAAAAAAATCCAATGCTTTATTTATACTTTTAATGTACCAAAAATATGATGCTAATGGATGCGTGTCTGCATGTCTTATCAGGTTTTCCCCTCCAAAATTTGCATGCCTAGAATGTTCAATGCTTAGATTTGAAATGAGACATTTTGAAACAGGAGCAAACCATTTGCTTATTTTTACATACTATATTGAATTTAAAACAAAATGTAATTGGACATTTACGGGAGCTTACAAGAAGCCAAGCTCTCAAATGACTAAAAAGTAAAAACCCCTTTCCTACAATTCTTTGTTTCAGTCTTATAAAAAAATAATTGTACAAACAGAATAATTATGCAAGTACATGCCCCAAAAGCCATGGCGGGTGCATACTTCTTGCCTGATGGGGATTACTACAAACCCGTGGCAATGTATACTCATTAAAATGCAAAATAATCAAATGGTTGGTCAATTTTATTATTTATCCAAAAAACAACAAGTGTAAAGCATATGTAATATGATACCTTTCCAATACGTTTTCCCTCAACTGCCAGAGCCTTCATTTTAGAAAAATAATGATAAAATGTCGCCACATAGGTAATAATGGACTTCTCATCTGGTTGATCCACATTTACATCTGAAAATAAATAAAACAAATAAAATAAAAAAACATGTTTAAACAAAAAAAAAAAACCACATACATTTATCCCAATTACTTTTTGCTAGTCTGGATAAAGAGATTAGAGTTTGGAGAGTCAAGTTTTTACTGCTCTCTCTGTCCCAGTCAGAGAGATTTTTGCCTTGCCACTTCCTGTTCGTTTTATGGGAGTATGGTTAGGACTTCTATCAGGTTTTCACAAATGCAGAACAGGATACAAGTAGAAATCTCCCCAATAAGGGAAACCGCCATAAAACTGAACATGCAACACAAATGGTAAAATGCACATTGAGTTGAACATTTACTAAAGTCCCACCCAAAAAGATATGTTTTCTGAAAGCAGATAATCTGTCAAATAAAAAGATAACCGTCTCATTTTTTAATGCTGTACAATACGTTTCTGAAATCTATGCTCTCAGTTTAAAAAAAAAAATGTTTTATCATACACAACGTCAACTACTGGTACTAAACAGTCACTTGTACTTCCCTAAAAATGAGACAGAGTACACATTCTTATACCTTCAGGGTCCAGAAGTTTAGTAAGGCCCAGCTCTCTCTCAGCAGTGTTAAATGCATTTTGCAGGTTGTGATGTGCATTGGATTTCTTCAGTGTGTCAAATTCAATGAGGTCTGGCCTTGGAGTGAACACCACAGTACAACATTAAACACATGTATAGATACAAAGTACAAAACACACTTGTAAATACTTATTTATTCCATACAAGATCCTAATCACATCCTCCGTTTTATCATTGCAGAATTCAGAATACATATTATAACATTTAAGTCCTAAAGTTTTGTTCAGCTGAAATAATTTCCAAATGTACTTTACAAAGCAACTTTCCATAACTTTAATGCTTTTTATCTAAACAACTGCTTTCATAAACAGATGCTGACCTGTGCTTGTGTACAATGGCATTAAATGCAAGACCATCACGCCAGCTTGTTGTGAAATTATGAACATTGACATTAGGATATCTGAAAGAGAAAAAAACATTTTTATTTGGGTTTGCAAAATTAAGTCAGTCATTCTATTGCGCTTAGCTTTGAGCATCAAAATGCCCAGGCACTTAATGAATAAATGATCTGTCAGATTAGAGTACCTGATCTGTCAGATTAGAGTACCTATCGTGAATACTACTTTATATGATAGATTAGATACATACAGTGAATAATTATATTATGCGTTATCTTAGGTCACCACTTTGGTATGTTTAGTTCCTTATTTGTGCAATGAGCTATTGAAGACAGCACATTTACAATTATTGTAAAGATTCAATACAGCCTTTGCAACAGATTTCTAGTGTTTTTGTTGTTATAAGTGTAGCACCAAATTAATGCAAGTCTTGCAACTTTTTCCTTGCTGGATCCGACACGTGCAACATATTCAAGAAGTTCTTGTTTGTGACAGTTTACTAATATGCCGCTATGGCTACGACAAATTAACAAATACCACCAGATTGGAGATAAGAAAAATGGAGATAAATAAGACCAATGTCATTTTGGAACAGGGCTGTGTGACCAACCCATCCCCTGGCAGTAGTTTCTAGGATGCTGTAGGCAGCACAGCTTCCTTGGATGCTAGGATGTTCTCAGCTGCACAGCATCCTTGGTTGCTAGGACACTGTTGGTCACACAGCACCATAACAACCAAGCACCCTGTACAAGAGTCAAAGCAACCAATGACAATGTACGCCTAAGGCTGAGTATGCACTGAAAACTGAAATGTCTGCGGTATGGACACTCCAGACTCAGTGCTGCCGCCCTACCCCATGCCTCCATGTGAAAGATCCATGTACCGGTTTCTGACAGGTACATTAATTTGTCACAGGCAAAGACATTTGTTGTGCAGAGGTATGACAATTCTAAAGAATGTTTATGAATTCCAGGAACTGTCTTTAGCACTCTTGAATTGGTTTCCAGATATGCTCACCCAGCAGTTTTCATCTGACACCAGAGCAATAAGGCATCTTTAGCCGACTTCTTTTCTTTGTTGTCTTCTGTCGCAACACTAATATCTTGGATCTAAAAAGAAATACATTAAAGGTAGCTTATTATAAAAATAAAAAAACTGCTCTCTCAAAGAATATTTCTAAATTACAAATTTAAAAAATAAATAAAAACAATACTAAGCAGAATGGCATTTATGTTAAACATTGTTCACAGGGGATGGATAGATGCATTAACACTGTCACCAATAGAGCTTTCTTTATTTGAACCAGAACACGATGTGTGTGGACCTTCACATGAACATCTATAGCTACATACTATCCATCTATCTCTATATATCTATATCACAGACCCCAACTTTAAAACCCACAGCCTCAACAACTCAAAAGGAAGCAAAGTGCAACAAGGGTGAAGCTGCTTAAAGTTTTGTCCACAGCAAGGGCTGCTAGAGAGAGTTGTAAATGGTATTTAGAACTTAATTCCAGGGGATTGGCTGTGGGGTATGGAACTCTGCCATCTCCAAGTAGGCAGTTAGGGAGAAGTGGCTAAGGTGAGCAGATATCACTGCCTGTTGTCAGATGGTGTGTTTGAGAAAAGGTATTCAGACAGCTCTTCCATCTGTATACAAGCATGGGTTGAACTATCCCGATCACCATGAAGGGATCTTTATGTGTGTAAATAGGATCTGAGAGGGATAGGCAGAATTTGACACTGAGCTTCCTAAAGCCTATTTGAGGTTGGAAGCCAGCTAGCTTTAAAAAATAGACTACTATAAAAGGTTTCTCTTGAAGACACTAAAACTATAGTGGAATTAGTGGGAGGATCCCTTAGCTTAGAGAGCTGCAGTTTGACAATTCAGTTGATGATTTAAGAGGCCCAGTGTACTTCACAATAGGGAGCGGAGAATAGCATTATACCTGCCCTGTGAATTTCTGGATGCCAGTACTGAGCCAGTTTTAAGTGCAATGTCTTAGCCTGTAACCTATATGTGTATGTATAAACCTCTCATTACACCACTATGGCTATGTAAATAATCTGTATTTACACTAGGTGTTAGTGATCCCTTGTTTCTGAAAAATTGAGATTTTTGCTTTGTGCAACATTACCTGAAATCGAAGAATAATGGTCCATATAAGCCCTAGCGTCAGTCTGTGATTGCCATCCACAATGTCATGCGACCCCATATTCTCCAAATGTACTTTCTGTTCCTTTAAGAACTGTAGTGCTTTATCAACATTTTCAAGGCAATGGATACGCATGCGACCCTTTGTGGGCTTAGGCTGTAAGAAATGAAATAACACAAAGCATATAAGGAGAAACGACAAAACAGTCTTTACAAGAAAGCTTGTTCTACTCAAAAAAAATTATCTCCATCTCCATCCATCCATCCAGGTACAATACAACTCAGCTGCAGTAGCCATCTCAGTTTGCTCCTTAAAAAAAGAACTGAGAACTATGAGATGAGTGATTTCCACTCACCTCATAGTTCTAGCCGACCTGTGACAATGAGACTGTCACAGGTCGGCTCAGTAGATCGGGAGGTGAGCGAACAGATACGGGCGTTCGCTCACCTCTCGAATCCCGGCACAATTGTCGGGACCCGCTTCAGCTGCGGTGTCTCAGTATACCGCGAGCTACAGCTCGCGGTATACGGAGCCTAGGGTGACAGGAGGACGCTAGTTTGTGTCCTCCCGTTACCCTGAGAACTATGGGGAAAAGACTTAACCCCATAGTTCTCCTTTAAGAACTATCGAGTGAAAGGGATAACCTCAGGGTTGGGATTAACATAGGGGCGGGTGGAGCTGCCGCTCCAGGCCCACCCCTGTAAATAGGCCCAGCCGTCCCACCATCTGCATTGCTGTATAATGTATTGCTGGGGTTTGCAGTACTCTATAGCTGGGGGAATTCTGCAGTGCTTAATGTATTGCTGGGATTTGTAGTCTTCAATAGCCAGTGCAATTCTGCATTGCTTTATATGTGTATTGCTGAGATTTGTAGTCCTCTATAGTTGGTGGCATTATTCTGCATTGCTGTATAATTTATTGCTAGGATTTGTAGTCCTCTATAGTTGGCGGTATTCTGCATTGCTGAGATTTGTAGTCTCTACAACTTGGAGTCAGTGGCAGTTCTACCAGGCTCACAGCTTCAGCCGGGCTTTGGCGCTCCACCACTGACTCCAAGCTGTAGAGAGACTACAAATCACAGCCTGGACAGGAGGAAGAGGGCCCTTGGTGACAGTCGACATCTCCATAAAAAGGCCCACCGAAATTCTCAGCACCAGGCCCATGATGCTCTTAATCCGGCCCTGGATAGCCTGATAGAAGTTTGTTTACATTACACCCTATAATGTTAATTTACCAATTGCCACTTCAGTCTGTTTCTTCTTAAGCCTACAAAGAGAAACAGCTAGGCTATATGATAAGGCATTATACACAATGGGGGGAATTTAGCAAAGCTGGAGCAGTTGCCTCTGGCAACCATAAGTTTCTAGAGTGGATGTTCAAAGCCTAACTGAAGAGAGAAGCTCAATAATCACTATGAACAACTGTTTCAGATTCTGTCTGCTACAGTTTTGATGCATTCCCCTTAATTCCTTTATTCATTCAAATGCCAATTGAAAAGGAAAGTATAGTGGGGCGGATTTATGAAAACTGGAGCAGACAAAATCTGGAGCAGTTGCCTATAGTAACCAATAAGCTTATCTCTTTAATTTGTTCAGTTGAGCTTTGAAAATGATAAATAGAAGCCAAATGGTTACTCAGATTCTGTCTGCTCCTGTTTTGATGAGTTCCGCTCACAGCATTTTAAGGCAACACAATGATTAATTATTGAATTGTATGCCTGAAAGAATCTTTTGATGTGACTTGCTCATTTTAACAAACTTGTGCTCACATATTTTTGTTACTGCATCAAATATAGCAATTTGAAGGACATCCACTAGAGGGCAAAGATAATTCTTTATGAATGCTCAGAGAAGATATTAGCCACACAGGTCATTGTTCTTTTTCAGGCTCTATTCACATATGGCGTTTCCGTTTTCTGCACAGAAAACAAATTTTTTAAATATGCGCAGATTTTGCACATTTGTGGCTATTACTATAGCCGCAAAAGTGTCGAATCCACCCCTAAAATCACATTCAGACTTTTTTGCGGGAAGCCTGAATGATGCACATTGGAATACATTTTTTTTAATGTTTAGCACGTTTCCGTGTGGAAACCGCTCATGTGTGAATGGAGCCTAAAGTGTTGGCTGATTGATAGGAGTATATAAATGTTTTCACTAGAGGTGCACAGAAATGCAAATTTCAAAACCGAAACGAAACCGAAATAAAAAAAATGTCAGGCCGAAACCGAAAATGCTTTTATTTTAACTTTTTCCAATTTTTTAAAATAATTTTATTTACTTTTTAATTTTTTATGACATATTTTTTTTTTTAACTTTACTTTTAGGGGCTTCGGGGAAATATTAGGGGTCTAAACAGACCACTGATATTTCCCTTTTAAAATAGAAAAAGAGATTGAGGACACAAAGTCCTCAATCTCTTGTTCTGCAGCCCCTGTTATAAAATAAACAGGAACGAGTGTTCCTGTTCATTCATAACATGAGGACATAGTGTATTTACTATAACCACAATCATGAATGAACAGGAGGTGATGTAGATCACTTTCCATTCATTCATAATTGAGGCTATAGTAAACATACTCTGTCCTAAATTATGTACAAACACTCAGCGATCACTGCTCAGCCTCTTGTGACAGCCGGGACTGTTTGCGCCCACACACCGCTCTGCCGGACTGTGACAGGAGGCTGAGCGGTGTGGGAGGAGAGACGCCGGCTGCTTACAGTGCTCTCCTCACGCAGCGCTCGGCCGCCTGTCACAGTTTCTCTCCTCCCCGCTGGGACACAGAGCAGCGCCCAGCGGGGAGGAAAGAAAGCATGGATGCACCACCATATCGGCCAGAAAATGGCACTTTCCGCATTATGCCAAAAGTGCCATTTTCGGCCGATATGTTTCGACGGCCGATATATATCGGTGCATCCCTAGTTTTCCACACAACATTTTCACCAAATTCGAATCAGATTATAAAATGCATGAATCTTGGGTGAGGGTGGTTTAAAAGCATTTATAAAATAGACCCAATAGTCAAGGTTTGTAGGAGGAGCAAGAAAGCCCACTACTATAGCTAAAAGAATCATTAAAAAGATGGTCCCTGATATCGCCAAATTCATTTGTTAAGCAACATGCTAAATAAACTACTCAACAAAAATTTAAGGAACACTTTGAAAACACATCAGATCTCAATGGAGAAATATATCATGCTGGATATTTACTGGTTACTGGACTGGGTAATGTGTTCGGAACGAAAGGATGCCACATCGTTTGATGGAAATGAAAAATCAACCTACAGAGGGCTGAATTCAAAAAAAGACACCCCAAAAATCAAAGTGAACAGTATGTTGAGAGGCCACCCACGCAATGGGGAAGAGAGTACCATTTGCCCCAGTTTATGTTTGAAGTCTTCAATAAACCAATATCACTGGTCTACAAATTTTGGGAAATTATTGACCTCAGAGATAAAATGTGTTAATTCTTACATATTTTGATTAGATGCATTAGAAAACAGGTGATAATGTGCTGGTTGGCTAATGTTTTCAAGATATTACACAATAAAGATTTAAACACAGGCGAGTATATTTGCTTACAAGGGAGGGATGTGTCGGATGATCATAGAGGACCTCTATGAATAAGCCTACGGGTGAAACATGAGAGGTTGTAGCTGGTTGGGGGTTTGCGGTGCTGGTATTTGCTGCTTTATATTCTTTTATTCACTGTTATACTGGATTTGCTGTCAATTTCAATAAAGTCTATAGTAGTGTGGTCTGTTCGTATACTACTACATCCCAAGGTGGAGACTAAAGAATTGGAGCGGTGAGATTTCCTTGGGCTCTGTAATTTATTGTTCTTTTATTGCAAGGTACATTTGTCTTGGTCAGATCTACGCATCATACAGTTACATCTGGTGGCTTTTGAAAGGGTCATTGCCTAACATTTCCAAGGAACAGTTGCGTGATATTTTACCTCAGAAGCTAAGATGCCTCGAAACTTTCTAAACAACGCAGATCGCTTCTGCTACATTTGCATCTCAAAAGTGCAGTATGACGGCAGTGGTAAAAAAAAAAGGCATACCACCTATATTTTGGATGCAAAATAGGGGATCAGGACAAGAGTTGGGCCCCTCATTATTGTGGCAATACGTGGCTAAACAAGAAAAAGGTCCATGCCTTTCGCAATCCCAATGGTGTGGAGAGAACCCACCAATCATAGTATCGACTGCTTTTTTTGCATGGTTATTGGCATCAATAAAATGATACATTTATAATGATAGGTGTGGCACCATTCTCATTGCTGTATCCCATTTTGCAGAAGTTATGGAGCACAATCGCACATCCCCCTCGTAATTTTGAATTATTTTGATGCAATTTTGACCCGAAGATGTATTTTTGAAAGTGGATCCAATTAATACTCGGGACTTATTTTCCTTTATTAGTGACCCAATTCTGGTAAAATTTAGCCAATTTTCGAGGCGGTCTCCTTGTAGACTAGTGTATTGAACCATATGGACACCAACGTACCCAAATGATACTAAAATAAGCAGATAAAAAACTAGGATTTAAAAAAGGATTTTACTTTGTGGAGGGAAAAAGAAATTAGTTCATGGTATACTCGACAGCACTGAGCTGTTAACCCAGTTAGCTGGAATCTAGTTCGAGTAAAATTTGTGTCCAGGCATCTGCAGCCAGCTTTGCCATATCTCAGAGTGACAGAGAAATTCTTAAGTAAACATCATATATGAGGCGCACTGATTAAGGGCTTGTTAACACCATGTCCTGATCATGTCCAGACCAGAACAGTTTGTACCTGGTCCAAAAAAAAAGCATCCCAATGTATCCCTATACATTCTGGACCCTGTTCACACCAGTGCAGTCTGTTCCGGTCAGGACTTTAAAAAAAAAAAATACTGCCAGTCTCATTTTCTCTAGTCTGGAATGCACTGGAACACATGGAAGCGCATTGAACGCATGCAAACGAACTGAAAAGCACCTGAAAGCCCATTTTAAGCAAAAAGAAAACAGCACCGGAACACAGCAAATTGCTGTAAAATCGTGGTAAAAATGCGTTGCACTGCTTTTGCAGATCTGCTCCAGATATGGTGTGAACATAGCCTCAGAACATCCTGTAGTGCTGTGTACCAACAATTGTAGCCAGTGTATAGGAGC